TTCGTCGCGACACCGGCGAGAAGATCACCCTGCCCCTGGCCGATGTGGAGAAGAAGATCTCCGCTCTCCTCGAGACCATCCACGGAAGCATGCTGGCCAAGGCACAGGCGGATCTTACAAGCCACACGAAGACCGTCAAGAGCTGGACGGACTTTTGCGTCTTTCTCGAGCAGAAGAACATCCTGCTGGCGCCCTTCTGTGGCGAGACACCCTGCGAGGACAATATCAAGGCGGACAGTGCCCGGGACGAGGAGGCCGAGCCCGGTGCTCCCTCTATGGGTGCCAAATCCCTGTGCATACCCTTCGACCAGCCAGCCCCCATTGCGGCCAGCGACTTGTGCATCCATCCCGGCTGCACCAACAAGCCCAAGTTCTACACGCTCTTTGGTCGCAGCTATTAAACACCACCGGTCGAGCCTCCATAATTCTATAACTAAATTCGATATTCCCGACCGATGAACCGATATGTACTCTTATCTTGCAAGGACCTTAATATTCATTTAATCGATTAAATCTTTAAACAAATTTTACTTTTAAAGAGAATATTTTTTGAATGTACACTTTTGAGGCTAGAAAATGCCAGGGAGAAACGCAACCAGCTGTACGAGGCGCGATGCTGCATGACGCCCGTTCCAGTAGACTCTCAGTAGAGCTTTTCCTCTATTCTATATAAGTATTTTAGTCCAGGCTTACCTTTTGTTTTTGAGCTCGGTTCCATTTACTTACATAACCTTGAACTCCTGGCACACATGTAACCACCAGTATTCCCAGCCCATCTGATGTATGAGGCGCACCTAATGTAAATTGCCAGTTTTCCATGGAGTTTGTCAAACTATTTAGCTGAGAACGACCCCCGATGAACCTGCCTTGCAAGGCCGGAACGCGCCGAACCGCTAACTGGAAACCCAAATTAAATGTCACTTATCCCCCGGATACCTTGTGGGATTGGGATTCCATCTATATAAAAAACATAAATTATTTATGGGGAACACTTGGCTGAAATACTTTGCTTTTTAAAAAGGTATCAATCTCATCGCAGGCCAATTAAAAGTATATATTTTATTTAATTGTTTGTAGCGTATGTACCCTGTAATCAACGGCTTAGATGGGGTATATGGGTAGATCGAAGGCAACTCTTGGAGTAAGTTCTACCACACTTTACAATAAACTTTTATTTGATTTCTTGTATCATTAAATAACCACTAAATATAAGATACAGAAACCCTATAAACTCTTGCCGGATATTCCAGATACATATATCGTTTCATAAGACAAAGGGTATCCCACCACCAATTAGCAACTTAAAGAGTCGTTCGACATGCTGCCCCTTCCGTAAGACACCGCCTGCTCCAGCAGCAGCATGTAAATAAACTGAAAATCTTTCATCGACAGCCAACCATGGGATGCCTTTTGGATACAGTTTCCTACTGCACATAACCTCTGTAACATAAGATCTGTAACAAGATTTATAGAAATGGCAAAACAGAGGAGATTCAGGAATCGCCCTCTCCAATCCAATTGTTGGTGTCGATTCGTTGAGGGCCTCTACAATTATAGAAAGACATTGTCATTAATGATAAATAAAATAATTGTGACACTTGCAGCTGGAGCAGGGCCAGCCAGAGAGGGGAACCCAGCGGCATCCAGAAGGGGGACCACAGCGAGAAGCGGTTTAGGAATTGCCTGGAGCTGTTGCAGCTAATTAAATGCATATTTTTTACTTGTACGTCAGTAGACAAAGCTGTCGACTTGTTTTGAATGGAAAATATAGGAATGGAAAAAATGGAATGGAATTTTACATACATCTACGGCTATCTATGCCTATCTACGGCCGAGCCCACGCTACGGACCGGTCTCCGGATCAAAACCCCCCGACACACAGACACAGACCCGACCTGGACAATATTGCGTAGTGATATGCGTAAACATCAACACGACAGAACAAATGGCAACTGCATAAGCGACCAAACTGCGAAAAGCAAACACATACAGTGCGTTTCGCGATTGCAACACATAGTTGTCAGGGCTCCTTGGAAGCAATGGTAATGAGAATTTCAAGAGTTCCCTCAAGAGTAGATCTATTCAGTAGATCCATGGTTCACACAATACTTAGAATTTGGATAGTTCTCCGGAGAGGAAACCTCCTAAAGATCTGTGAGTGCAATGTCCAACAGATTTTAGAATAGTTAGATGTTCTCTCCTCTCTCAGCGCCTTATAGCGCTGATCCGCCCTGTTTGTATATGCAGTATCTGAAAAGAATTCTGTTTCCATAGCCTGGTCTGTTGACTCGGGTCAAACCTTAATGTGTTCTACTTAGCTGTTAATCGATTGGCGAATACATAATAAATATTTACCCGCAACAGAAGCTAAAAGAATTTTTGCAATTATGTTTGATTTATGGGGTAATTCACTTGATCCCGATTTAGCAAAGAGGCTTGTTTTATAGAGGCCGTAACTCTCAGAAATCCATTTCGGCCAGTCGGGAGACTCTAACTTCAGCGTTTGATCCAGCCCCCCAGCTCCAAGCAATCAATTGCACAGAAAATTGCATAATATAATGAATTCCGAGTTGAATGTAAAGGCAACCAGTTTATAATTGCATGATTACTCATCGGTTCATGGTGAGAGGAGGAGTGGCAGTGGAGAGTCAAATTACAGCCGCAAAAGAATCATCATTTGTAGGAGTCTTTTGGAGTGCCGCATCATTAGAATTTAGTACACAGAATTTAAAATGGAACTTGAGGAAAGCTTGAAATAAATCAGAGATTAGAAGGGCAAGAGAAAGAAGAGCTAGAGCATAGGAACGGATTCACAGATGACTCATGAAAGAACCCGGAAAAGCCCAGACAGAAACAAGTCTGGAATCTTTTTAGCTTCTTTTTGTGCCACCCAAGGGAATCCCAAATTAAATGAACATGTCTCCTCTGGTGTACACAGAGAACACCCTGAAGAAATCTAACACTTTAAATGGAATCTTGGTGGAATATAGATAGAGAAAAATCCGAAGCAATCCGGTAAGCGTGCCAAAGAAGACCTTCGCAAGGGGTCGTTGCTCGAAACTCCATCTTTTCCGCATCATCCAAACGCCACCCAAAATAGAATATGGGAGGAGGAAGTTCCCTTTCAGCAGCAATTTGCGGGCCAGTGCCAAGTAATAGTTCCCTCCGATCTGACGTCTACAGAATCAATTAGAGTGGAACCACGAATTGGGATCCAGGGGTCCAGTGGCCGACCGAAAGCTGTTGTTTGGTTTTGTTCGGAGCTGCCAAAACAAATTATGTCATCAAAGGAAAGGGAAATGAAACTGAAACTGAAACTGAACCTGTGACTGGGATGGACTGGGAAGCTGCTCTTGATTTTGGTTGCTGTTGATTATGATGATGTTGTTGATGAGCCAGAGAAGCCTGTTATTAACCGCAATGCCCTTAGAGCCCGAAACGAAAAGGAAAACGTAACGGACACGTTGCTGAATCAGAAGATGATTCAAGGTCGTCATCGCGGCAGCGTGACCATTATACGTTGGATCGCTGGAGTTTTTTTTCTGTATAGTCAGTCGGGTCGGGGAGTGGCGGCCCGAAGATTGTGAAATCCCAGGCGATCCTGCGGCCTGATTGCATGCGACAGCCTGCCTGCCATCTCCCGTCCATTACCACAGCTGTAACTCTGCCGCTTGTACCCCTCATTCCGGGTGAGTAACTAACCAACCAGACGGGTCAGCTTTATGCCTGGCTATTATCGACTTGCAGCCGTGGATCAGGTTCCCAAAGCAAACAAGTAGGAGCACTGTGCTGCAGTATTGCGACTAACAGATGACTCTTGTGGGGCTTTCTTTTTTGGTGAATATTTGTTGACTACAGCAGCATTGCTACGGCAATGTCTGTTGTAATTATTTGTAGATATTAAAAGTATTCACAATCAGATAACCTAAATAGTACATAATTTCAAAGGCATATCTTTATTCTTGTGGAGTTCATTGTACTTTGAGATTGTGGCAATAACTTATACCACATTTGGTCACTGTTGTATCTATTGGACAATTAGAAAGGTTTTGAAATGTCTGCATCGAAGTTCAGTTGAAAAATATACATATTTATTTTTGTTTGTAATCAATTCCCGTCCCTATCTCAACATAAATACACCTTAACTTGCGATCCTTCGTTTCAGAATATATAAGAGATTATTGCAGCCCGTGGCATACCTCCGCTCTGACCAACATACCCCAATGTCCTACTAGTAAAGGGTATACATATCTTTTCTGCATCCAAAAATTGCATGAATGCATCCAAATCTGTGTTTATATTGTTTAATGTATGGGTTGCACCTCTAAACACACATATGCATGTATATATGTACATCTGTCGTGCTAAATGCAACTGTTTCGTTTCCATGGATGACATGCAGTTTTTTAGGGCCACCGCATAAAAGAGTCTCTCCATCAAGTGGCTGGCCTTGGTTTGGTCCGACTTCGTCTCTTGAGTCTGTCCTTTTTTTCCACATCTTCTTGGTGGTGGGGGGTGGGGGCGTTTTGGGGAATTTCTGTTTTGGGATCTTTCTCGGACGTAGGGTTGCCAGGTTGCCAGCAGCATTGCCCTTGCCCAGAGCGCGACACCGAGACTGCTTTTAGTGTTTAAGTGCCGTTTAATTGGTTGCAATTTAAGTGTAATAATCGGGCCGGTACTCGTACTCTTACTGCCCGTACTGGCCGAGTTTCGTCTGTTCTTTAGGTTTTATGGGCCTGGTCTCTCTGTTGGAGGGCAAGATCATCTTACGGTGTTTTCGGCACACTCTACCCGGAAAAACAGCCGAAAGACACCTGCCTGAACAGAGGGGCTCCACTGCTGCTGACATTCGTATCTGTGTTAACTGTTAAAGCTATCGACTGTATGGGTGTATGTGCATTGGCGTTGGCGTTGGCTGAGACGCTGACGGCGCGAGCGGTCGAGTTTCCTTTGAGCCGAGTATAACTTCGAGCCAATTGCCCGCTTCCCATTCAGTTGCCGCTGAGTACTCAACAGATTCAATTCGCGATACGGAAACCTCTCTACGGAAATCCAAGCCGAGTCGTACCGAACCGAAAGTCCAAACCCTTGGAAGTGAGTTTTCGTAAGGGCGCTAATCGCTACTGCCAATCCTCCTCCTCCATCGAGTGTGTGTGAGTGTGTGTGTGTGTGTTTGGCTTTACAATTTACAAACAACAAAATCAACAAAAAATACATAAAACAATTCAAAGAAACACAACTGTGCAATGTCTAAATTTGCGTGCCACACATGAGTGGCAGTTACGTGAACAGAAAATCCATTTCGGGAGGCGTCGTGTGACATGATCATTGTCTACATCTCCACAGTCGTATGTTTGTGTGTTTGTGTGTGTGTGTGTGTGTGGCAACAACTTTAGACAATAGTAAATTTATGGATGGAAATGAATGCAATGCCCCCAGAAGGGAGGCAGGAACCACAGTGACCGAATGCAAAGTTTGTGCCTTAAGTCTTTTGTTTGCTCTGCAAAAAAGTGGGGAGATGTGTGTGAAAATGCAAAGGAAATCCCGGTGTTTTATCTATGAATCAAATATACTACGGAATAATACTTACTTGAATAGAATATATTTCCTCTATTGCAGAATCTGACCTACTTTTTTGAATGATTTATGCAAATGGAAATCGCAATATATTATCATATATTTTTCGAAAAAGATAAACTTTTTCTGTAGATTTTCCTTCCAAGATTTATTTGATTTTACAATGCGTTTGCTTTGCAATTTCTACATAAGTGCAAAAAAATGCAGTGGCTACTTTTGTAAGCTGTATACAAATATATTTTCGTATGATTACACAACCTATTGCCTTATTAAGACACATTGAAAAGTAATTGCGAAAGACAGGAAATACATTATTGAGTATAGCGAGATCCCCATGGAGTTTCCTTTCTTAAAAATATATCGAATCCCCATTGAGTTTCCTTCATTTTTAATAAGATCAAAATCCCCATGGAGATACCTTCCTTCTACACAAATTAAAACTCCCCGTGGAGTTGGAAACTCATGGGAATACCTCCAATTAAAGAAATACTTGCATAATTTCTGCATTTGTTTATTCAAGATATATAAACACTTCCTGCATAAAAAATAACATTACAACGGCTATAAAACGAGAGTGAAAAGCAGACGCATTTAATGCATTTTAAAGACACAGAAAAGAGTAAACTCTGACCCAAATGGCTAATTGCTCGCCTCCGCGCCCACACTTGGATTGCTTAAGATCTTAATGCAAACTAAAAGAAATAAACAAACAGACTCGACACTTTACCAAAAAAGAAAATACTACCTATTATGATTATTGTTAACAAACAAACAGGGGCACCGACAAATGGATGGACCGCTAACAGGTCTTTAAAGCTATGGCTGTATTTACCAACAGTCTAAACAGATGATACGAGCATCCAAGAGGTGCGAGGGCAAATAGAGACTACGAACCCGGGGTTCGTACAAAAATCCCAATTGGCCACGCCAATTACATTCAGTTGGTCAACATACACTCTTGGCTGTTGGCCATTGACCATTTGACGTGTTTCTGCCACTGCTACTGCTACCGATCCGATCGTATTTCATCAGCGTCGGTGACATTGAAATAGAATATGTCGCCGGAGTAGGTTAGACAAACAAAACGGCCAACCACTCGAGCGGGGGCAAGTCGATCTTGAAACTTGTAATGTCAACTCATAGCAAACTTCCTTTGGTCACAGATCATCCGGAATCCATAGCGATCACGTAGCCATGGAAATACTGCGAAGCAATGCCGGTAGCGGCGAGTCGGAGATTGCCAAGTTCTATGCCAACAAAACGATCCTCATCACTGGAGCCACCGGATTTATGGGTAAAGTTCTGGTGGAGAAGCTCCTGCGCAGCTGTGGGGATCTGAATGTCATCTATCTGCTGATCCGCACCAAGAAGGGTCTGGATCCCAGCGTACGGAAGGAGCAATACTTCAAGTGTGTGGTAAGGCCCCTAATCCTAATCGCAATCCCCATCGTATCCATTATTAAGTGTTGTTAATTGTATTATTTATGGCTCGTAAATAACTGCTAATCAAAGGCACTCTCTTATTAGCGGCTTTTGCAAGAGAATCACTTGTGCTATGAGTAATTATTGTACGTAGAGCCCTACAAATTCTTCTTCCGGCTGAGTGACTTCAACTACTTAGATGTATCATACGTACTCGTACAACATGTAATTCCCACTAATAAGGAACTATAATAATATTAATCTGTGGGCGGCATTCCTTCCCATATCGATACGAGCACTAACCGCAAATGAAGACTTTTATTTTCCGGGGGAAATTTCAGCCATTTATTTACAAATAATTACCGGTATCACGATTGAAATTTAACGAGGCAAAAGCAATAATTAACAATGGTAATGTAATTACATGAAAAACTCATGTTATTGACTCTTTCTTGGCATATTTTATGTGGTTAATTGTAAAGTCTATTCCTCCAAAAATTTGTGGAGAAGGTGAAAACTTATCTGAGCTAGTAATTCATTGAGTATTTGGTATGTATTCCTTCGAATACTGCATTTCTTTAAAAGTGATATTTTTTTATAATATTACAGCATGTTTAATCTTTCTTATTGATACAATAATCACCGGGTGGCAACTGAATTGTTGTAGCTTCAGTTTTATAGTCCTATTATTATAGATGATACATAATTATACGAATATCCCACCCTATACCATAGCTTATCCCATCCATCCACCGACCTTGTGCCTTACCATTGCCATAATTTCCTCTTTAAACTGCTTTACAGCTACAAACGTACTCGTATAATGGGTTTTTTGGGCTGCAAAGCAGTTGAAAGAGGAAAATATTACATGAAGTTATAAAAAATAAGTTCTATATAATTATGTGCCATAACTGTAACCACCGCAGCTGAACTAATATTTCGTTTGCCCTCCATTTGAGGGAAAACTTCGACGAAACGCCGACTCCCCCAAAGTGTTATTACCAAATTATCGCAGCACTTGAAATACACAGAAATACTTGGTGCCAACAAAGCGACCGACTCATAGACATTTAAAGGTACAGAGACAGAGACAGCGACATAGCCATAGCCACATCCATGGCGTTTATAAGTCAAGGTGATCATTATTGCTTGAAAAAATCCGAAATTACAATGACTTTTAATTGCTGTTACGCCGGGCCGGCGCTTCAACCGCCGACATGGTCCATTAGACCATGATTCTAAGCAGTCGGACAGTTGCCCAAAACCAGCTAAGAGACCCAACTGCAAACTCCACATTGCAATTCCAACGCCATGACACTTAATTAATGTCTGAGGGTCTGCTTCCCCTCTACCAATACGAGTACATGTGCATGTTTTTAATCATTGCAGAGTTTTAGCAAGCTGCTGGAGAAGAATCCCGACATCGTGGACAAGGTGCGCGTGGTAAAGGGCGATCTGCTCGAGCCGGACCTTGGCCTGAGCGCCAATGACATCAACACACTCGCCTCCAATGTGGAGATTGTGTTCCACTGTGCGGCCAATGTGCGCTTCGACCAGCCGCTGCGGCCCATGGTGATGATGAATGTGGTCGGCACCCTGAAGGTGCTGCGTCTGGCCGAAAAGATGAGCAATCTGCAGTCACTGGTGCATGTGTCCACCTCGTACTGTCAGTGCAACGAGAGTGTGCTGGAGGAGCGCGCCTATCCAGCGCCACAGAATCCCTTCTCCATCATTGAAATGGTGGAAACAATGGATGATGCTGCTCTGGCGGAAATAACACCCAAGTAAGTAGCAGCTCTGCTGTAACAGAACGAAGGACTATCCAGTATGGAACTGATTGAAAAGAAAAATAATTGCAAAATAATATGCATTTCCTCCTGCAAGGATTGCAATCGAACTGCTCTGTCTGCCTGCCATTTTATGAACAAATTGCCTCGATTTACTTTGCTTTCTAGATTACTAAATGGCTTGCCCAACACGTACGCTTACAGCAAGGCACTGTCCGAAGATCTAATTTGCAGATACAACACCAAACTGCCCATTATCATCACACGGCCCTCCATTGGTACGTTTCCAGATGATCAGCCAGTCTGCCTCTGTTAATTGCTTTATTAAATTGTGCATGCTCCATTGCCTTTGCAGTAACGGCGGCCATTAGCGAACCACTGCCAGGATGGATTGAGGGCGTTACCGGACCCACTGGCCTGATGATTGGTGCCGCCCGAGGTGTGATACGATCGATGCACTGCAATCCGCTGTACTCCTCCACAGTGATACCTGTAGACAAGGCCATCAACGGGTTGATCTTGTGCGGCTATCAGCGCGCTAAGGCTAGCAGCCAGGAGAAGGCGCCCAGCAAACGAAACGAGGTGCAGTTCTGCAACCTATGCATCTCCAAAAAGGCCCTGACGTCGTGGGGCGACAGCATTGAGACGGGTCGTCGCTTCTTCTACGAGACTCCGCTAAGCTTCTCCCTGTGGTATCCCGGAGGATCCATCAAGAAGAACTATTACCATCACCTGTTCTGCGTGATATTCTTTCACTATCTTCCTGCCTATTTTATTGACTTTTTGATGCTGATCTCTGGCCAGAAGCCCTTGTAAGTTACTGACTCCATAAATCCACTATCATTTCAAGCATTACCTTTTTGCAGCTTGGTGAATGTGCAGCGGAAGGTGTCGATGGGCCTGAAGCTACTGCAGTACTACACAACGAAAGACTGGGAATTTCAGAACGAGAAATTCCAGGAGATGAGCAGCCAGCTGAATGCTATAGACGAGGAAATGTTCGACACCTCTGTGGGCCAGCTCAATTGGGAGACCTACATCAGCACCTACATCATGGGCATGCGCACCTACATTCTAAGAGAGAGCCCGTCCACTCTCCCGTATGCCCGCAAAGTGTTGCGGCGCCTCTACATCCTGGACTGTGTCAGCAAGGTGCTGTTCTTCACCCTCACATTCTGGTTCTTATGGACACATATGGACGGTTTCGTGGAGAGTGGTGACGCCTTCATACGGTCATCACTTAGCAGTATCTACCATGAGCGGAACAACACAATACACGCATAAGCTTCTTTCTAATAATGTAAATCAAATATAGACCCCAAGATTTTCTTTATTTTAAGTGTATATAAAATTGTTGTATTACTCAATATTTGAATTCTAGCTAGGGAGCTGGTTCTTTTGTGAACAGAACTAAAGTTTTTCAACACCATTTAATATTTCGAGTTCGAACTAGTACCGGTTCTGGTGTATATGAAGTTTTTCGTGGTGTAATGGAAACGTGTAAAAAAAAAACGGAGACGACTACAGTGAAACAGGCATATATGATATCCAAGATGGTGGTGTCAGGGAAGGCTATTCCCTGTGTCTTTGCGTTATTGAAGACAAGCGGTAACAAGGAAGTTTCGAAAATAGAGAAGATGTAAACACGCCACAAACTTCACCCACTGCAAATACGCCTCTGGACTGCGCTTGTTTCCGACTATTTTGCAGATAATAATTATATAATCTATCCTAGACACTGCAAAGCCTTCGAGGAGGACATTTTAAAATCGTGGAGGATAGAAGATGCTGGAAAAATATGACCCGGCAAAGCATTTGCCGCAGTATTATGAACTATTTCTGTCAGGGACCGTAACAGCTATAAGTTTTAGAAATGAGAAATCACACTTATTTTGTGTTATTCAAAAAAAAAAAAAATTATTTGCGATTTTTAAAAGTATTAAATATTGTTAAGAAAGGTATTATCTATTTGTTTTGTCTTTATTCCTTCAATGATGAAAAGTATTTTTTCTAATATTTCACATCATTTACAAGTTCTCGGCATGTTTTTTTGGTTTTTATTCATTTAATTAATACATGTGTCAATTTTAGTATATATAATTTAATATAAAGTATACATACATATGTATGTCCATATGTATACATATATTATTAGTCAGCATCAATAGCCGAGTCTATATAGCCATTACTGTCTGTGGATAGAGAAAGCGAAGGAAATATAGGAAGACAAGACAGAATATGCAAGATTATAAATATAATTACATTTGCGGATGAAAAAGTTTTACAATGGGAAGTGCAAATAAAATACAATAATAGGGATTTAATTTACTGCTGCACCACTGGCTATAAGCTATGGACTATTGGCTAATATTGGGCTGCGGAACCCAACAGCCCCAAGCTGTCGAAGATCAGAAATCATATTCCTAGATTTTGATATTTGGCTTAGGGCTACTGAATTCTCAGCCTTGAGCGCATACCTTAATCCGATTGATGAATCAATTTTGTACAAGATTGGCTAATATTAAATGCATCCTTTACTTTGATTGTTTATATAATATGGTTTAAACCAAAAATGTCAAGGCATAAAACATATATGAACGGAAATTCTTGCAAAAGGGAAATAGCCAAAACGGCTATCGATACTATCGACTGGATAGTAGAGTTGCGCGCCTAAGTTTGAAAGTGAATGAGTGGCATGGATATGAATGCAATCCAGTGGAAGAAGTGAGGCAAACGAGCAGATACCAAAAATAAATTTTCATTCTTAATAAGAAAAACAAACTTAGAAGAGCGAAATAAGCCGCCTGCATAGATATTACACACCTCACACTTTAGTTAAGGCTTTAATAATCCTCTCGTTGCTGTATATATATACATCCATGTGCTGCAATTTGTCCTTTTTGCTGAGCTTCGCGGTGGTGATCAACTAGCAATTGTTTAAGCTTAAATTTTATATGGAAGCGGGAACTTGTTTGAAATACGCGCACTGTTTAAAAGCTTCAACCAACAAGTTGTCCAACCCTGAACAAGCTATCGATAATTTTGAGAATTCAAAGAGAGAAAGCTCTGTTCAAAAACGAGAAAAACGCCAAAACCTCCATTCAATTAATTTAATTTTCAATGTTATATAGAAATCCAAAAAATGCAAGTATTTTGAATAGGCCAATCATGTATAGAATTGATTCATCAATCGTACAAAATTGAGTGGGCATGGCTTGATGTTCTATATAGATAGTATTATCCAACGGAACAAAGAATATGAGGAATTGGTCGTTTTTTTGAATTCGCCGCAGTTCGCCGCAGTTCGCCGCAATTTCGCTTTAGCAACAATGAGTCTCGTTCCATACACACTGTTGCGGCAACATTTACTTGAAAACCGTATTTTAGTCAAAATAAATTACATTAAAGTAATTAAAAGAAGCAATCTTGTAGAAAATGCATTTATCTATGGGATAAAGCTAAGTGGGCATCTATAGCTTGAAATATAGGCAATACCCGATTCGCCGCAGTTTCGCTATTGCAACAATGAGTCTCACTCCATACACAAACATGTTGCTAATTCCATGTACACATACCCTGGGGGAAAATGGATGATATAGAATTGAGGAAATGTGTTTCATCCCATGCTCTAATTAATGCAGAAACCAGTCAGTATCTATGTTAAACGATATTTTGCAATTAGTGGTCTTCTTACAGAGACCAAGAACTGGTACTGGGATCAGGATTTATTTACAAACACCTAATCGAATGCATGAATAGACCAAAAAAATGCAATCTAAGACAAGGTCTTTACTAATTAGATTTGAAAGCAGGTTGAAAAACAGTATCTTTATATAATATTCACGAAATAGGGTATACAAACGTCCATACCCTGGTTGACAACAAAGAGTCTGCAAATGCCGGCAACATTGACGTCACAACCTGCGACATTGAACATTTTTATTGAAATCGTGTTTTTGTCAAAATAAAAGATTTTCGAGTACTTAAAAGTAGTTACTCTTGATCAAAATTGATTCAGCAATCATATAAAATTATCTGGGCAAAAATAAGAGATCTATATAGCCAGGAATATTCGACGGAAGAAAGATTAACCAAGAATTAGTCGTCATAACCGGTTCACAACAATGAGTCCCATTCCATACACACATACCCTGGGGGAAATGGATGTTATAGAATTGAGAAAATGTTTGTCATCCAAGACTCCGTAGGTATCAGGATCGAGATAAATATACACAAGATACTAATAATGTACTTTAATATGTCTAAGGAATATCAATTTGAGAAAAGGTCTTGATAAATCACGTTTAATCTTCATATAAAATTAACAAAATAGGGTATTCCAAGGCTTACACGCAACACAGTGACTCTTTTTTTGTTGGACTTTTTCGTTTAAGCCTTTTTTTACAATAAATACAATAAAAGCAAGGATTAAAAACTAACCAATCTTGTAGAAAATTGATTCATCAATGGAATAAAACTATATGGGCATTGCTAAGAGATTTAATAAGTCAGCATTATTCAATGGAATATCAAAATTAAGCAATATGAACGAATTTCCTTTTTCGTTTGTTTTGATTGACCCATTTCGCTACTTGCTTTTTGTTTGACTTATTTCGCTAAAACCTCTTTTTACGCAAAATGCAATAAAAGCAAGTGTTTAAAATAAGCCAGTCAAGTTGAGAATAGTTTAATTATTCGGATAAAATTATGTGAGCCGTGCTAAATGTTTTATATAGCTAGTAATATTCGACGGAATAAAGAAATTGAGCAATTGGAACGATACTCGTTTGTTTATGCTACTGTTGTATGAGCAAAAGTGCCTTGTACGTCTGCCTACAGTGGCTTCGAATAACAGTAAATCCTGATGTCAGAGGGCACTTCCAAAAACAACCGCTGTTCCTCGGCTATTCCGTGCTTTCCACCTTCTTCGCATTTACAGTTAAAGTCGAGCCACAGAGTCTGCTGCGATCCCGAAACAACGAAACCAGCGTCCCCCTCCCCTCTGACCAACAAGCTGTTAACGTACAGCCTGGTCAGCGTTGGCGTTGGCGTTCTTTCCATAGAGAACCCAAGGCCACCCGTCCCAAATAAGAATTCATTTAAGTACTGTATTTATATATTTATTTCATTATATATTTATTTATTGTTTTACATTTTTTTGTAATGCGCAGTGAATGCAGCATGGAGCGTCCTGTGCCGGTGGAGCAGCACAGGCCGGTGGGGCAGGTGGAGCAGCACGGGCCGGTGGGGCAGGTCTGGCAGCACGGGCCGGTGGAGCAGCACGGGCCGGTGGGGCAGGTGGGGCAGCACGGGCCGGTGGTGCAGCACGGACCGGTGAGGCAGGTGGGGCAGCACGGGCCGGTGAGGCAGGTGAGGCAGCACGGGCCGGTGAGGAAGCACGGACCGCGTCTCTGGCGATCGCGGCTATAGCCCTACGCATACGGCGGTTTAGCCCTCCTTGGTAGCCGTAGGCACCTCCACCTCCACGCCCTCCACCTCCACGGGCACCTTGGGCGTAGTGGGCACCGCGTCCACGTGCACCTTGGGCGTAGTGGGCACCGCGTCCACGTGCACCTTGGGCGTAGTGGGCTCCTTGGGCGTAGTGGGCTCCTTGGGCGTAGTGGGCTCCTTGGGCGTAGTGGCCTCCGCGTCCACGGGCACCATTTACAAAATATATCGCCTGAGGCATCTGAAAGTATAAAAAATATTTAAATAAAAACATTAAAAAATAAACTCACTTAAACTTAAACTCACCATTTTTCAAATTTTTTTCCTCGCGTCGCGCCTTAATTGTCGGTTGGGTTTGAATGAAGGAATCGGAATCCGATAGAACCTCATATCGACATACAAGTGCACGGTTGCATTTGCCAATATTTTGCAATTAAGTAAAAATATAATTAAATGGCTTGTAAACAAATCTGAAATGCAGGAAAATAAATTAAACAAAACGTTTTCTGTACTACGATAAATTAATTTGGCTGTTTTTTGGCAAAATGCTTTTTTATTTTCCAATTGGCAACGCGATTATCATATGTGCGGGTGGATTCGATACCGGTATCGATAAACACCTTCACCACCAACAAGTGCGCAAAGCAAGTGTTATATTTTAAATATTGTTAAAATAAGTGAAAGTGTTAAAAAAACAAAGGCAATGCTTAACAGCTGGTAAGTTAAAGTTATTTTCCAATTGGACGCAAGTTTTGCGCAAAATACTATGTTTTTTTGTTACATTTTCGGCTTTTCCTTTTTGCGTGCATTTTTTGCGTGAATTTTTGCGTGCAATTTTCAATTTCCCTTAGGGTGAAATTTGTGCGTAAATTTTTAGGGTAAAATTTATGCTGTGCGTGAAATTTGTGTGTGCAATGTGCAATTTCCTTTTTTCAATATTATATGTATTGTATTTCCAATTGCATTTGTATTGTTGTATTATTTTAGCGGCCAACTTGGCAACGGACATGGAAGGATGAGACCAACAATGATCCAAGAGAGTCCCTAGGTTCGAGGCCTGGGCTGACCGACTTCTGCTGTTTTTTCATTTTTTATCCGAATATTTATTTTTTCCCCCGAAAATTTATTTTTTTCCCCCCAAAAATTCACTATTTTTATACCCGATACTCAAAATGAGTATTGGGGTATATTAGATTCGTTTCCGACCCCATAAAGTATATATATTCTTGATCAGCATCAATAGCCGAGTCGATTGAGCCATGTCTGTCTGTCCGTCCGTCCGTCTGTCCGTCCGTCCGTCTGTCCGTCTGTCCGTCCCCTTCAGCGCCTAATGCTCAAAGACTATAAGAGCTAGAGCAACGATGTTTTGGATCTTCTTGGAACTATTTCAAAACTTTGCCCCGCCCACTTCCGCCCCCACAAAGGGCGAAAATCTGTGGCATCCACAATTCGACGATACGAGAAAACTAAAAACGCAGAATCGTAGAAGATGACTATATCTTCTAGAGTGCAAAATCTGAACCAGATCGTATAATTATTACAGCCAGAATCACGAAAACAATTTCACTCTTTCTCGCTCTGTCTCACTCTAACACACAGGTTTCATAGTCGGTTTTGCCAATTGCAAAATATGAGTTCAAGGATCTCAGAACCCATAAGAGCTAGAGCAACCAAATTTGGTATCCACACTCCTGTGATATCGGACCTTGACCGTTTTGTGTCAAAATTTCGCCACACCCCCTTCCGCCCCCGCAAAGGACGAAAATCTGAGGCAACCACAAATCTCAGAGACTATTAAGGCTAGAGTAACCAAATTTGGTACACATACTCCTTTAAGATGTCACTATAAAACGTATATCTCAGAATTTCGCCCCACCCCCATCCGCCCCCACAAAGGACGAAAATCTGTTGCATCCACAATATTGCAGATTCGAGAAAACTAAAAACGCAGAATCATAGAGAATGACTATATCTATCCGGTGGCTGAATTTGGATCAGATCAGATAATTTTTGTAGCCAAAAGGAACAAATCAATTTGCATTGGCTATGCAGCGCCCGACGTCACGCTCAGACTGATTTTCTGTCTCTCTAGCACGCATTCTTTGTCGTGTCGTTTAATATTAGCGGCGTCTGCCGGAGGAGAGCCATACTGCCTTAGTATCAGGTATAACTGTAGAGTTGCGGTGTCCGCAGCAACTCACAACGTTCCCCCTCGTTTTTCCTTAAAACCACAGCATTTTTCCATTAAAAAATTTTTTTTTTATTTTTCTTAAACATTTTTTTTCTCTGCCTTACTAACGAACATTAACGCTTTGCTATCCACCCACTATTAAAATTTGTTCTAAAACTAATAATAATAATTTTATAATATTCCAGCAAAACCGACAAATGCTTAGTAACAGGCTGCAGTGGCGATGTAAAATCGTTCGCTATTCCGAGGATGGGTGAAATCCATGATAAATGGATTAAGAACCTAAATATATCTAAATACAACACACGCTCCCGAGTATGCGCGAAGCATTTCCATAAGGAGTGTATTTTGAACGGGAGGCTTCGAACAGGATGTCTTCCAACCGAAAATTTGGGTAAGTTAGTAAAATAAGTTATTTTCTAGTTAGTTTTAATAGTCTGTCCGTCTGTCGAATGTTTAATGTAGCCATACTAACTAGTTATCGGGTATAAATGTAGAGTTGCGGCCGCAGCAGCAACTCAAAACGTTCCACCTGCTACTTAATTCAAACCAATTAATATGATATTAATTACTTTTATTTTCACTTTTGTTAATTTAGGACATAAGCCATTGTTTGAGAACTCGCTCAGCAATAGGCAAAAAAAAGCCATTGTTTCAATAGAAGATATTGAAAACAAAACTGCCGATCTGTCAATAGATAATATTGATATCAATTACAATGAAGATACATATTCTTCTCAAGAATCCGGCTATGAATTTCTGGAAAAGAAATGTAAAGCCCTAAATGAGGAAAATATTTCCCTAAAAGAGGAAATTAAAAATTTGCATGAAAAATTGCACACATTCACTGTCCAAAGTGAAGATAGGGAAAAATATGTACAAAAAATAAATGATTTAGAGAAAGAAATTTCTCAACTTAAATCAATGAGCACGAACAGGGCTCCTGAAGAAGAACAATGTGTTTCGCCGCCGCTCCAAGTATTTGAGCCTGGCTTTCAAGGCGAACATATTGAAAAGTTGAAGAAACTTGTACAAAAGTTGGATGAGAGTCACAGAAATTGTGCACTCATTTTTGATGAAATGATCATCCAACCAGAAATTGGTTATCTTGCCAATGTTGACCGAGCAATTGGTTACGTAGACCTGGGAGACGGAATTTCCGATAAGGAACAATATTCCTCCCAAGCCACTGGAATGTTGACATTCCTTGTTAGAGGGCTGGTAAGTGATTACAGCTATTTTGTTAACTCAATATTTGTTAACAAAAATGTAACTCACAAATACGCCCAAGCCATTGCTCAGGCGGTTAAGTGTTGTACTGCAGCCGGCTTAAATGTCCGCGCTATAGTCTGCGATCAGGCTTCAGTAAACACGGCGGCTCTTGAAAAAATAGACCGTGAAAGAATGATCAATCCGCCAGTGCCTCAGTTCGTGTGCGATTACGTACATTTATTCAAGAGCGTTAGAAATAACTTCTTGACACACGACATAACTACACCAGTCGGAAAAGCGACATGGAAAGTTATCGAAAAGTTTTATGAAGTCGATTCATTAAACTCTTTTCGCTTGGCACCCAAGATAACGGAAAAGCACATCAATCCGCAAGGATATGATAGAATGAATACCGAATTGGCTGTTCATGTTTTTTCGAATACGGTCAGCACAGGCATTAAAATGTTTGCTGATCGTGACACTTTTGAAGACAAGGATGCAGCCATTGCTACATCCATGTTTTTAAAAAGTATGAACGATGGTTTCGATGTATTAAACAATACATATTTCCGTGCCAATAAAACGTTCACCAATCGCTTGGATGAATTCGTAAGTTATTTGGGAAAGATTAAATTCGGCCCCCATAAAATAACCGAATCAGATTCCCAAGCCAGTTGCCTGAAAAGGCTGATTGAAACTTGCAAAAGAATCAATCAAATTTCAAAAGATCTTTTAGAAATAAAAGATATTCAAAAAATAAATACCAGGGGTTTCAACCAAGATTCCCTGGAAGAATATTTTAATAGTTTAAACCGAGAAATTGGGTGGCAATATGATAGCCCAACAGCAGCTCAGTTGGTTCAGCACCTGCCTCTGGAAATACCTGAAAAGGTAACTTTGGAGGATGACGTAAACCAAAATTCCATTAAACAGCATGGATTAATTGTATATCAAACGGAAAGTTTGAATCGCCCAATTGCTAAAATTGCGGAATTCGCTGCTGTAAGAAATACATTAGGAATTGTTCTGTGCAAACTGAACATTGAATGTACAATCTGTCAAAGAATAGTAGTTCCTGATGGAAAGAGCATCCGTGGAATTAAAAATCCTACACAAGCTCTTTTTGAACATTCATTAAAGCATATTCAAATATTTACAGAATGTTTCAAAACCACTCCATGCGATAAAAATATTGCAAGAAATATTATTAGCAGAAAAAAAGCGTTTCGAAATAAACGAAAAAAATAAAAGGAAATGGATGCATGAAGGGCAGTTATATTCTGAAAAGAATAGCCCTTATGCCAAAAAAATTAAGGGAATAATAAAAGATGGCTTTTGTGAATAGAAAATATTTACAAAATGCTGAAAAGCACGCATCGCCCTTTAATTTATAAAAATATGCCAATGGCTACAGAAATGTAGGCTGTCCGATTTACCATCTTTTTCATTATTGAAAAAGAAAAGATCGCTGATGAGGAAGAGTGGTGTCTTCCGAAACAGTCTTTTAAATCTTTTCTTAAACCAAAAATACGGGTGTGATTGTCATTTTGAAATAACAATCACACTCAACGCGCGAGAGCGTTGCTCTCGCGCTGTGTGATTGTTATTTCAAAACAACAATCACAAAATCGGCTCAATTTCAAAATAAAGTTAATTTACCGCTCTGTTACCGTTCATTTTCTTGTAAATTTTGTTAAACTTTTTACTTAAACCTTCCTTTAAATTAAATTCAATAACAAGGAGTCCCTAAAATACGCATATCTTGTAGAAAATTGATCTATCAATCGGAGAAAATCATGAGTTCAGAGCTGAGGCTCTTAGCTAGCTAGTAATATTCAACCGAATATGAAAATTGTGTTCAATTCTTATAGCAACGACTATCCTCTTTCGATTTTTTTGTTAGACCTCTTTCGATAAAACATTTTTTTTCACAAGAACC